AGGGTCACTCCTGTCACTGCAGTGAGGCCAGACTGAGGGACCAGGCCAAAGCAGGGAGACCAACAATGAGAAGATGGTAACAGTCAGACATGGTGGTGCTCTGGCCCAGGTGGCAGTGATGAAGGTGGCAAAGTGTGGTCAGGTTGCAGAGATACCTTAAAGGTGGAACAGGATTTTAAGATGGATTGGATATGGATTGAATGGTAAAGGAAAGAAGGGGTCAAGGATGACTCCAAGGTTTGGGGCCTCAAAAACAGTGACAGGAAAGAGTACAGTTGGAGTTACATTTTGGGGAAAGACCATGGATTTGCTCTGGGAAGGTCAAGTTTAAGGTGTCTGTTAGACATTTAAATAGAGACATCCCTCCCAGTGAGCAGGGAACCAGAGGACTGGAGGGAGTCCACCTGCTGGTAACAGTAAGGGGAAGACCAAGGGCAGCCCTGAGGTCTGAAGAACTGGCCCTCTTTCCCCACTCCAGTCTGGGTCCAGGGCTGAGTCTTACTAGAGACAGGTGTAACCATTTCCCCAAGGCCATGGCTGACCCAGTTCTTTCTGCTGCCCTTAATGGCTGATCACAGTCTCCTGTGACATTGAGAGGCTTGTCCACTTTGACATACACAGCTTTGGATCTAGAGCAAACCAAGGCCCTCTGCTTTGGCAAATAAAGTTTTATTGAGATGTGGCTGTGCTATTCAGGCTAAGGCTGCCTTTGCTATGTCTCAGTGCAGCCAAATACTTGCCAGAGAGCCTGTGACTGCCACACCTAAAATCTTTACAGCTTGGTCCTTCAAAGGAAATCTGCTGACAGCTGTTCTCCATATCATTATAGCAGAGGTTGTTCTGTTACAGTAACAGCAAGATATTTAAATGAGTCCCATTTACATGATATATAGATTTGAGTCCCTATGTTTTGCTATTCTGAAAAAAAATTTTTTTTTTTGCAGTACTGGGGTTTGAACTCAAGACCTCACTTTGTAGGCAGGTGCTCTAACACTTGAGCCACTCCACCAGCTGTTTTGTGATGAGAGTTTTCAAGATAGGGTCTCTCAAACTATTTGCCCAGGCTACTCCTAAGTAGCTAGGATTACAAGTGCCCGACTACAATAAACGCTCTTAACCATGTTTCCCTGGGCTCCTATGTGCTCCCTTGTTTGTAAGACTTAAGCGTTTTCGGTGTGGGTTTTGCACAATTGCTCCCCAGTGTGGCTGAAATCATTTACGCTCCCAGTAGCAGTGCAGAGTTCCCATTCTTCCATATTCTTACAAATTTGGTATCTGGTATCAACAGGCTTTCTTAGTTGCCAGTCTTTTGTGGGTTCCCTTGAATGTGTGTGGCTGTGATGATAGCTGATGCTCTGAACCTCTGTACAGTACTGACTTTTATCCAATGACCCTTTGTTCCTGGCTTTAAAGGGAGTCACACTGTTTGACCATATACTGTGGTATTTTACTGTAATACCTGCTATAGGTTGAAGATTTTAAAAATTTTGGTAGAACTCACCTAGAGAGCCATTAAGATAAGTTGGTTGAGGTATAGCTTTAAAATTTTTTTTCTTTTAACTCACTGAATAGGTATAGGGCTACTTTTTTTTTTTTTAAGGTATTGGGGTTTAACTCTAGGCCTACACCTTCAGCCACTCCAACAGCCCTTTTTTTGTGATGAGTTTTTGTGAGATAGGGTCTCATAAATTATTTGCCCAGGCTGGCCTCGAACTGCAGTCCTCCTGATCGCTGCCTTCTGAGTAGCAAGAATTACAGGTGTGAGCCATCAGCACCTGGCTGAAAGAGGACTTGACCAGCATGGACTTGACAATTTTTCCTCTTATTCTGTCATTTTTCTGTACATTATTTTCAATGTTTACTTATTTTTGAGACAAGGTCTAACTATGTAGTCCAGGTATCAAACTCTTGATCCATCTGCTTCAGCCTCCCAAGTGCTAGGGTTACAGATGTGTGCTACCACACCTGACTCACCTTTTTTTTTTCCAGGGGGCAGGGGAGGCAGTACTGGGGTTTGAACTCAGGATTTCACACTTGTTAGGCAGGCACTCTACCACTTGAGCCATGCCTCCAGCCCCTTGGTCTCTTGTTTTTTAATTCAGAACATACATCTTCAGAATTGTTCTCTCTGCCTAGAGAATTAGCCATCATTTTGGAGCAACTCTCTTAGTCCCTAATAATGAGCGTTACCTTCAAACCTATTTTCTTCTATAAGTTCCTTCTTCTGGTTAGTTTCTCTATATACTTTTTTCTATCTTTTTACTTTTGTTGCCCTTAGGTTTTAAATATCCTCTTGTACACACTGCATTTTTCTTGGCCAATCTGATCATCTCTGTTTTATTAGGTGAATGAATGGAAAACACATTTTACCAACCTTTTAACTTCATTTTCCTTTGTTTCTGCCTTTTTTTTGCAGGGGTGGGCAGTACTGGAGAGGTTGATCTCAAGGGCATGAGCTTGCTAGGAAGGTGCTCAACTGCCCCCGCCTTCTATTTTTCATACCTTTGGCTCCTTTTTTCTGTGTTGACAGTTGCATATTATGCATTTTAATTTTTTAGTGATCACTTAATATATTGACAATGATCAGTATATTTTTATCCTCTTCTCAGGCGAATCAAGCTAACACACTAAATTGCCTTTTTTTTTTTTCTTCAGTGCTGGGGTTTGAACTCAGGGCCTACACTCAGGCCACTCCACCAACCAGCCTTATTTTTGTGATGGGTTTTTTTCCAGATAGGGTTTCTCAAACTGTTTGCCCAGGCTGGCTTCATACTTTTTTTCTTCAATTTTTACTTTTGGCAGTACTGGGGCTTGAACTCACAGCCTCACACTTGCTAGGCAGATGCTTCTACCACTTGAGTCACTCCACCAGCCTGTAATTTCAACCTTTTTTTTTTTTTCATTTTTCTTTTATTATTCATATGTGCATACAAGGCTTGGTTCATTTCTCCCCCAATTTCACACTTTTTAAAAAAAAAATTTTACTTTCAGGCTGGCTTCAAGCTGCGATCCTCCCAAGCTCTGCCTCTTGAGTAGCTAGGATTACAGGTATGAGCCACAAGTAGCCAGTTTTTTTTTTTTTTTTTTTGGTGGGACTGGGGTTTGAACTCGGGGCTTTCTGCTCACAAAGCAGGCACTCTACCATTTGAGCCACAGTTCATTTTTCTCTTGTTATTTTGGAGCTGGGTTTGGAGAACTATTTGTCTGAGCAGGCCTCAAATTGTAATCCTCCCAATCTCAGCCTCTAACGTAGCTGGGATTATAGATGACAGTCACCCTCCACTCTTACCCGTACTTGTGTCCTGTGTACCTCCTTCTATACTACTCATGTTCCTTGGTAATACTTTACATTTGCCAGCCTGTTCACCATTTTCCATCTCATTTCTTCCTTTTGGCTTACATGCCCTTGTTACTGAAGTACATCCTTCAAATTTTTTTTGTCAGCATTGGTCTTTTGTAAACTCTATCATAATTTATCATTTTTCTATCTTTTCAAATCATGGATTAACAACTGGCTGGCAGTTTTCCTTTAGTGGTTTGAAGATAGTATTACATTTTATTCTGGCTTTTGTATTTGCTGCTTAGCAGTCTGCCTTTGGTGAAAAATATTTTTAGCTAATCATTTTTTAGTAGCTTTAAAGATCTTTTTGGAGTTCTGCAAATTCATTATAAAGTTTGACTCTATTTATCCTGCTCTGGATTTTATGTGAGGATATCCAGGAACTGCATCTCTACATTCTGAAGTCAATAAATTTTTGTTTCAGGAATTTCACCTTGTGATTCCCTCTGCCCCTCAAGGTCACAACAGTTTCTTGAAAGCTGAACTTCAAGATTTCTCTTCAAGATGGCCCTTCTTAAAAGAACTGATGCATAATCCAGTTGTCCTACTAGCCACAATTCTTTTATTTGGGCTTCTTTTATCTCCACTTGAATTATGGATATATTGATGACAGTTTCAAAGTTCCTCATTTGAGATCTTTAGGATCTAATTTCTTCAAGCAATGTGTTTTTAAGATCACTTTTGGGGTAGATGTATCTGCCAGGTTCTCGACTGCTGACACCCCACTTCTGTAAACACAAGTGAGTTCGTTCATATCACATTCATTTCCTTCTTTCTTTTGTGGCATAGAGGTTTGAACTCAGGGCCTCACACTTGCTAGGTGGGCCCTCTATCACTTAGCTATTCCGCCAGCCCATTACATTCCTATTACATTCAAGAACAGTACAGATCCATGCCAAAAGCTGAAGGAAAATTACTGTTAATCCATGATTTTAAGAGTTAGTGAGAAAAAAAGATAATGATAAAGTTTACAAAAGATCATAGCTAAAAAAAAAAAATTAAAGGATGTACTTCAGTAACAAGGGTATGTAAGCCAGAAAGAAAAAATGAGGTCTTTCCCATTTCGTTCGCTAACAAGTCTAAGAAACCCCAGGTGGCCGTGTGAGTCGTTTCCCTCCTCGGAACCGCTGGGCTTGAGCTCTTCCCCTGCACCCGTCACCCCGCGCGTTCTCCGTGGCCATGTCTCTCGGCAGTCTCATCCATCCTCCCGTTCCGTGATTTTCTCTTCTGCGCTGTCTAATCCGCTTTCCCCCCTCACCCTCGGGAGTGGGGTTTCTATGGCTCTGTTCTAGAACCCTTCAAAGCCATTCTAGCGCCCCACTCTTTTCTTTCTCACGCCGGGCTTGGCCCCCTTCTTTCTCTAACACTAGCTCGGGTGAACCGCGGCCGGCAACCAACCGCTCTGAGCCCGCGGTCCGCGACTCGGTGGGGGAGGCGCTGCCTGGCCCGAGCGCCCCGCCAACCGCCTCACAGACGGCTGAAGCAAGATGCTCCCGCAGGTCATGACGTCACGGGACTGTGACGCGTCCCGGAGCGTGGCCCCCTCGTGTCCCGCGCGGGGAATCCAGGGTCTTTGCGCCGTGACGTCACCGGTGCGGGCGGGCGGGTTTTGCGTCGGCCCAATGGGAGCAACGCGCCGGCCTCCCCTTTAAGGAATGTTGTGACCTGACGTCACCCGAGCGAGTTACCTCCCGCAGCCACCGCCGCCGGGCTCAGCGCGAGCCCCGAAGCCCTTGAGCGCCTGCCCCGGAGCCCCCGGAGCGCCGAACCGCAGCCACATCCCCGAGCCGCGCGCCCCGGAAACCCGGTTGCGCGCCCCGCCGGGCCCGCGCGATGCCCTCGGACAGGCCTTTCAAGCAGCGGCGAAGCTTTGGTGAGGCCCTGAGGGCGACCTACTAGTGGACGCTGGGGCGGGGAAGGCCCGGTCGACCCCGACTGCTACAGTTGACGTCAGCCTCGTGACGTCAGGCACTGGCTGTCGGACCCCGGACTGAAAGGTCGCTAGGCCCGGCAGGGGCCACCACCTCCCCACCGCGTCCCTAGCAGTGGGGCCGATGGCCCCGGGGGCGGGCGCTGGGGCGGGGCGGGAGCCGCCCCTCGGGGACGGGGGGGGGAAGGGGGCGGAGCCGCAGGGAGGCTCCCTCGCGGCCCGCTGGACCTCACACCGACCGCCGTCCGCAGCCGACCGCTGTAAGGAGGTGCAGCAGATCCGCGACCAGCACCCCAGCAAGATCCCGGTGAGTCCCGCGTCCCGGGCCCTGCCCCCCCACCCCCAAGATCCCGCCTAGAACTCACGCGGCCCCTGCCCGCCTCACTCCCACCCCCAGGTGATTATCGAGCGGTACAAGGGTGAGAAACAGCTGCCCGTACTGGACAAGACCAAATTTCTGGTCCCGGACCATGTCAACATGAGCGAGTTGGTCAAGATCATCCGGTGCGTGGGCAGCAGCTGGAGGGGACCTTGGGTGGGGTAGGGGGCTGTAGACAGGGCACCAGGCTCCTGTTCTGGGAGTCTGGGAAAGGTCAAGGTCGGGGTTGGAGTTAGAGGGGAGTCTGGAAAAAGGGCAGGGATGGTTGGGAAGGGGACACTTGGAATCCTAGGGAGGGGTCAGAGTTAGGCCCCCAGCAGGCCAGCCCCTAACCAGCGTGACCTCCTGCCCCACAGGCGCCGCCTGCAGCTCAACCCCACGCAGGCCTTCTTCCTGCTAGTGAACCAGCACAGCATGGTGAGCGTGTCCACGCCCATTGCGGACATCTATGAGCAGGAGAAGGACGAGGATGGCTTCCTCTATATGGTCTACGCCTCCCAGGAAACCTTCGGCTTCTGAGCCAGGAGTGGGGGGGGTGGTTGGCCTGGGAGTGGGGGTCTGGGTCAGGCTCTACCCAAGGAGCTCCTAGCACCTGAACTGAGCTGCCTTGCCCTGGTGGGCTGGGTAGGGATGTGGCTCCCTAGCTAGGGAGAACCAACCAACCTATTCTGGGTGGGTCCTGGGCCAGTCATGTTAGGGTTGCCCCTCTGGGTGTTGGTCGGGTTGGGGGGGAGTGGGAAGCAGCCCCCAGCACCCGTGCTCTGTGTGGTTTATCTTTTTTTTTTTTTAGGCCCCTGCCTGTCTGCCCACCTGCCCCTTACTTACCTGAGGCTCTGCCCCCTGACTGGACCTGCCCATCCCTGAATGATTGGCCCTTGGCTCCCCCATCTCCACATGGTGTATGGATCTGTGGTCATTGTCCCTCTGCAGAATAAAGATTGCTCAGGCCTGCCTGGCTCTTTGCCTCCAGCTGCTTGTTTGGGAGTTGGGAGGGCTGCTGGGGGACTGCCTCACAGACTTGTGTTCTATGGACTTCCAGCTTCTTCTGGAAACCCACACCTCTTAAGTAGTGTACCACAGGAAACCGTATTAGGAGTCAAGCCCACTCCCTCCAGGAGTGTGGTATGGTCCCAGAAGAGATGTCTTCATAACAAAAAACATTTATTAAGTAGTCATAACCTATCAAGCCCTGCTCACCTGCTGCTTTCCTCCTCCTGCTAGGGAGGGGACTTCTTAGTGTGCAGGGCCACAAAGTTGGGGTCCAGGTGGGGTGCTCTCAGCTGGTCCCCACAGGCCTTGCTGCCAGCCATGGGTCCTCTTTGGTGCCAGAGATTTGTGACGCTGGACTGGAACCTCTTCTGCCTGAGGACTTGCCTGCTGGCAGCTTTAGATGGGGGATCCTGGCCCAGTTTCTAGTCCTTCCCCTCCTTGAGGTCCATGCAGCCTTGTGCCAGTCAGGCCTACTTGAGCACAAGCATGGCCTCAGTGCCGTCCTTGGCAGTTAAGTAGAGACCGTGTGTGAGGTAGTACTCCCGCCGCAGGAAGGCATAGAAGTAGTCAGAGATGAGCAGGATCTGGGAGGAGAGAGAATGTATAAGAAGCTACACTGGGGCTCTGAACTGGGGTTGCAGTGGGATTAAGCAAGAGAACCTCTGCCTGGCATCTCCTTTCAAAGTCCCAGCCTATCCCTGGACCAAGAACCAAGGCTCTTCCCAGGGACCTCCCCTCAAGGCCCTCAAGATCCTGAAAGATCTTACTGGTCCCTCAGCAGTTGCCCATGTTCCATCTCCTTTTGCTCCAACCCTAACCCCCCTAGCCCCAGTCTATACCTTCATCCCAAACTCTGGCCTTTAAACTCTGTGCAACCAGTAGCCTGAGCACCTTGCCTATTAGTCCACACAGGCACTTCCACCCAGCCAGGTCCCCACCAACTCTTCAGCATCTTCCATGCTCAAATTTTCTGCCTTTCACCCATGAGCTCAAGCCACATAATCACCTAACACTTCTCCCATACATCAAGCAACAAGATCTGTCAATTCTACTGCTATGCTCTCAAACCCACCCCCCCTTCCTATCCATTCCACAGCTACCACCCTGGATAAAGCCCGTGTCATCTCCTAAGCAACAGCAAAGCCTCTTCGGGCTTCCTGCTCTCAAACTTGCCCCTGAGCTAGGCATCGAGAGCAAGCTTTTCAAAACAAATCTGATCATGTTACTGCCTGGCTTAAATTCCTCCAAAGGCTTCCCAAGCTCTTAGGTGAAGATCAGACTCATTGCAGCTCCAAGGCATTGCAATTGTCACTGCTCATGTACATGCATCACACTCCCCTGTACCACCTCACTCCACTGTGGGATCTTTGTTGTTTCCTTTGCCTGAATGTACTCTCCCCTTGCATTTAGTCAACAGCTGTTTGCCCTTCAAGTCTCAAAAAGGATCACTTACCCTCATATTGGGTCCATTAACCTCTCTTTGCTGGAACAAACTCTTCCAAACTGCAACTTCACATTTAGCTGTGACTGCCTGATTGTCATGCTGCCTCCCAAGGATGGGAACTCCATCAAGACAGTGGCCCTGAATGGTTCAGCGTTATCTTTTTGCCCTGCTCAGTCTGTCCTATTCTGGGTCACAGAGTCAAAAAGGACCAAGAATCTCAACCCACTGTCGTCTTCATGGAAGCCCAGAGAAGAATAGGGATTTGCCAAACTCCCTGCACACTAGACCTTAAAGTCTATAATCCCATTCAGCTCAAGTTGCCCAAGACCTTGATAATGAGTAGGCCCCACGGAAGGAGGGGACAGATGCTCAGTGCTGCAGACACCACAGTTCTCAGGCACTTAGGGGACTCTGACAGCAATAGCACCAACCATCTATTGGCACAGATGAGGAGACTGAGGTCTACGGTAGGGGAGGCACTTGGCTAGAGCTGTGGGGCCAGGGAGAGTTTGAGCTGAGCCTGGTATCTAAGCTTCTAGACCCCCAGAATCCTGCACTGGGCACAAAGCTCTTCTGGAAGCTTAATAATTCCCATTTTACCAATGGAGAAACTGAGGCTTCAAGGGTTCAAATAGCCTTGGGCCAACTGGGAGAGCTGAATTAGTGGTTACTCAGCATGCAGGCAATATGCTTAGGGCCCACTCCACCAAAGGGTACAGAACTCTGCAGGGTATCAGGACAGCCAGGCAATCCTAAGGCCACCCATGGGCAGTTCCTGGCTGGGCCACTGGGGGCAGCAATGAACAGGGCAGGTGCTGACCTTGTACTCTGGGGTCCTACTTCTCACTCAGACCCCAAGTTGCTCCATCCCAGGAATGTGGATCTGATCCCTGAGCCAGTGACGTTAGATGAGAAGGCAGGTACAAAGTCACAATTCACAACCAAACAAAATGAGGCAACTCAGTGTCACATAATGATCAGCTGGGAAGGTCAAAGGAAGTCCAACTATTAGGTTAATAAGTTGAGCCATATGGAATTGCATTTTTTTTGGTGAGAGGGGTTAAAGTCAGGACCTCATGCTTGGTAGGTAGGCGCTCCACCCCTTGAACCATGCACCCAGCCCATTTGCTTTAGTTATTTGAAAAATAACTAAAGCAATATTTTTGCCCTACTGGCCGGGACCTTGATCTTCCTGTTTATACTTCCCATGTTGTTGGGATAATAGGCACAAGCCACAAGACGGGGATCTCATGAATTTTTTGCCTGGCCTACCCTCAAGCCATGATCCTTCTGATCTCTACCTCCCAAGTAGCTAGGATTATAGGCTTGAGCCACTGTGCCTTAAGAAATTGCTATTTTTGCAGATCAAAAATATTTTAACATTGGCAATTTCATATGATCCAACTTAATATAAAATGAGTAGGAAAAACAAACAAATATTAGAGTAAGCCTATTATTCAGAAATACCAGAAGAAATAACTGAGACCCTATGGTGGTACTAGGATTTAAACTCAGGGACTCACACTTGCTAGGCAGGTTTTCTTACTGCTTGGGCCACTCTGCAAGCCCTTTTTGTAGTGGGTATTTTCGAGACCTATCTTGAACTATTTGCCCAGGCTGGCTTTGAACTACAATCATCCTGACCTCTGCCTCCTGAGAAGCTAGGATTACAGGTGAAACACCAGTGCCTGGCTACTGTGAGACCTTATGGAGCCATTCTTTTTCCTTATAAGCTTTAAGTCTGTAAACTATGTATATTCATTAAACTATGTACATGATAAAAATAAAAATTCAATTAAAAACAGCCACTAAGTGATCAAATCAACAAATAGGGGAGAAGAGGCAAATGTTCCTTTCAAAAGAATTCCAAACAATGTATGTAGGCCAGCCCTTCTAGGGGGTGGAGCTTAGTTCTTAACCACTCCCCTGCCCCCAGGGTGGACTACATTTAGGGATCACTTCCTGCTTGGGAATAGGGAAAGAAAAGTGTCACTCTGCAAAGGAGAAACCTGGCAAACATCATCTGAATCAAGGACTGAGGGCGAACATCAGCTTGAAATCACACAGTTAGCCCATACCCCAACAGGATGAATTGAAAAGGGTGCCTTACCTGGGGATTCTTTCCAAAAAACCCAAACCCAAGACTAATGATAAGCATCAGACAAACCTAACATGGGGGCGCTACCACAGGTACCTGGCAACTACTCCTTAAGTCTGTCAAGATAGTTGGGCACTGGAGGCTCACACCTGTAATTCTAGCTACTCAGGAGGCAGAGATCAGGAGGATTGCAGTTCAAAGCCAGCCCAGGCAAATAGTTCATGAGACCCTATCTGGAAAAATCCATTACAAAAGGGGAGTGGCTCAAGGTGTAGGCCCTGAGTTCAAACCCCAGTACTGAAAAAAAGAAAAGACTGTCAAATTCATGAGAAATAAAGCCTGAGTTGAGGAGCACATGACCCTGGGGAGACTTGACCTTAAGTATAAAGTGGTTTCTTAGGTTGGATCCTGGAAAAAGAGGAGGACAAGACTGGAAAAACATGAAATCCCAGTAAATGGTAATTTCTCGGGGTAGTTTCTTAGTTTGACGAATAGTCCATGCAACTTAAGATGTTAACACAGGAAAGTGAGTGTGGAGCATACAGGACCTCTCTGTACTATCTTCGCAACTTTTTCAAATCTAAAATGATTCCAAAATAAAAAGTTTATCTAAAGAAGCAATGAACTATTGTTCTACGTATACCATAGGCCACCCACAAAAACATTCTGGTGAGTGAAAGGTGGCACTGGTAAATATACATGTTAAGATTTGCATTTTTCACTGGATATTAATTTTATATCAGCAAAGTGTACAATATTGAACTCTAGTTAAGGATATACATGCTGACATATTTAGAAGTAAATGTACTGATGCCTGTACTTCAACTTGAAATAAATGTAAAAAATAGATAGGGCCAGGTGAGGTGGCTCACACCACTCAGGAGGCGGAGGTCAGGAGGAATCCAGTTCAAGGTCAGCCTGAGCAAAAAGTTTAGCAGATCCCATTTCAACCAATGGCTGGGCATTAAACAGCAATGGCTTATGTCTATCATCCCAGCTACACAGGGAAGCACAAACAGAAGGATTGCAGTCCAGGATGACCCAGGCATAAATGAGACCCTATCTTAAAAAATAACCAACAGGGCTGGTGGAGTGGTTCAAGTGGTAGAGTGCCTGCCTAGCATGCATGAGGCTCTGAGTTCAAATACCAGTACCACCAAAAAAAAAAAAAAAAAAAACAAAACCAACTCAAAAATGGCTGGCGGAGTGGGTCAAGTGGTAGAGCACCTGCCTAACAACATGAGGCCCTGAGTTCAACCCTGAATACAGCAAAAAAAAAAAAAAAAAAAAAAAGATGAAGGATGGATATTATGATCAAGCAAGTATTGCAGATGTTAACGGTGGAGTTCAGGTGGTGGTATATGGGTGTTCAATGTGCAAAGGGAATGTTCCCTTAGGGAAGGGCCCTGCTCCCTTGGGCGTATAGTCCTGAGTGTCCTGAGTCCTGGGTGGGTGTTCTGCTCCCAGGAAGAAGACACTAGGCTGGCCTGGAGGTTGGGTTTTTCAGAGGGAAACCCATGGCAGGCTGGCTGACCTTGGGGCTTTCCATTCAGGCCACAAGAAGAAAGGATTTCCCAGAGGACCTAGGATTCAGCCAACACAGTAGTTACAGACTCGCAGTCCTTTTGTCCAGTCTGGACAGGGACAAGTGGACAACGGGCAGTAAAAACAGCATAGTCAAAACAAAAAACATCACAGGCAAGTTAGCAGTTGCATGATTCCCTTAAGTCACTTCCCATTCCCTAAATTGCATTTTCCACATCTGTAAAATGACAGTAATAAACTCAGTTTATTAACTCACAATGGTGGGCTCCTGTAGTCCTTACCTGGGACTTAGGGACCCATGAGCATGTCCATCCCTCTGAGCCTTTAGAAATCTCAGGCCTGTTCATGGAAGATGCCCCACCTGTTGTGGCTGAGCATCCTGCCTCTCCCCTCCCATCAGTTGCCAAGCCCCACAGACTTTCTACACATCCCCTCTTCTCCCCACCACAGCCACTCCTGCTGGGAGGTCTCTCACCTCCCTGGCCCGAGGGACACGC